CTTTTGGTATGTGTGAATATGTATGTGTGCAGCAGGGCCTTTTCCCGCCTCAGCCATTTTGGGTGTACAATTCAGCAGCCAGCATTACCTTCTCACTGTGCACCCACCACTGTCGGCTTCCACACTTCCCACCCCCTGAGGAACAGAAAGGTGCCTCCCCCACCCTCCCCGCTCGCCTCTGGGAGCATTTAAGTGGGAGCGCATCAAACGGGTTCTTTCCTGTCTGCGTCTGGTTTCATTTAGCTTAACGTCTTCAAGGTTCATCCATGTCGTAGTAGTTATGAGAATTCATTTCCACCTGTGCCCCAGTAGTCTTCCATCTGCTTTACCCGTACCTCTGCTGATGAAGACTGGGGTTGTCCTCCCAGAGTGCTGCCGTGAACCGTGCTGTACAACGTGTCCGTACACCATGGTTTCCAAGCCCCTGGGGTGTGCACCCGTGCACCTGTTGTTGGCAAGTGCTGCCAAAGCTGTTGTAGACAGTCGGCGGGGCAATGGGGTTTTCTTCATGGCCCTCTTTACAGAAGTGGACCCCGCTCTTCCCCCACAGGTAGGTCTGCTTGGTTATCAGCCTGCTGCGGTTTTGGCCACCACATGCCAACGCATTCACGACTAGAAGACGCGTGGCAGAGAAAGGTGAAGGGGGCCTCGCGCAGCCCTCCTCTGGGTGTGAGGTCAATGTGAGCCGGCGTGGCTGGTTGGTTTTGAGGGTAACTTAACATTCTGAAGAACTGTCGAGCTTACTGCAAAAGTGGGCGCCATTTTCCATGCCCCCCATCATTTCCTCCACATTGTCTTTCTGTCTTCCTGATAATCGCCGTCCTAGCAGGGATGAGGGGTCTCCCGCTCAGATGGCTGGGGTGTGCGTGTCTCTAGCGAGCAGCCTCCTTTCATGGTTTTTGTGGCCCTTTCTTGGCGTGTCATCGTGGGTGAAGTGTTGCTGCTGCTGCTGCTGCTGGCCAGTTTTACAAATGGGTGGTTTGCCTGTGTGTTGTTGAACAGTGGGATTTCTTTATCGTTTATCCTAAAAGCTCGCCCTTTCCGTGGTACTTGGTAGCACAGAGGGGTAGCAACAAAGAGGACGAGCCGCAAGCAGACGGATTGATACGTGGCTGCCACAACGGGCTCACACGTAACAGCCGTTGTGAGGATGGTGCCGGCCGGGCTGTTTTGTCTGCCATGTGTGGGTGGCTGTGAGTCAGAATCCAGACTAGCAGCACCTAACTACAACAATACCAAGTCCTTAAGATCCCGGGTTCCCGAGGACAGTGCAGCCTGGCAGAGGAGGGACACTCACATGCCACAAACAGTCGCGCCACGTCAAGTGCAAACCTTCATCCCAGCCCTGAATCTCAGAGTTGCCCCTGAGGTAGCACCACCGGATCCCCTTGCATTTGCTCACATTCTGATCCGTGCCACCAATGTGTACTTCTCCCCACGCTCATCTGTAGACAGTCACATGTCCCCTCACAGAAGGGTCACAGGAAGGGACGAGCCAGCCGGGATGCAATCTAGCAGTGGTGAAACACACAACATTCCTCTAGTCCTTTAATGCTCCCCCCACTATCATGACTCCAGATCTACCTGATAAATCCGGCTAGATCAGAGCCTGGACACTGGTACAGATAAGAGCTCTCCACACATGGAATCCAGGACAGGTAAACCCTCAGGAATAATATGAGGGTGGGGGGAGAAAGGGGGAAATAATCGCAATGATCGATGTATAACTCCCCGCCCCCAGGGTTACAAACAACAGAAACACGGGTGGAAGGAGATAGTAGACGGTGTAAGATAAGAAAACAATGAAAATGTATAATTTACCAAGGAGTCACAAGGGGGGGAGGGGGGGGGAGGAGCTGATACCAAGGGCTCAAGTAGAAAATGTTTTGAAAATGATGATGGCAACATGTGTACAAATATGCTTGACACAATTGATAAATGAATTGTTATGAGAGCTGTAAGAGCCCCCAGTCAAGTGATTAATAACAAGTATGTGTGTCCCCTGCCCCCACCCCCGCCCATGGGGAGCACTGGTGGATCCTGTCTCACAGGCCCTGCATTGATTGCACATGCCAGAAGACACAGGTTGAGCTGTGGGGCTTGGGTGCCAAATGGACTGAGACACCAGCCCCTTCCCAGCGTCCACCGGGGAGCACTGAGGACTCTGGTTCTGAAGACCTGTCCTGTACGAGACTGGGCTTTACATTCTCATCTGCACAGCCTGCCTCCCCCCAGTAGTCGGCACATCCACTCACCAAATTAGGGGAAAGAGTCCCAGCTGCTTTGAGGGACCTGACCTGCCTCGCCTCTGAACTTCCTTCTGCTGTTCCTCTTGTCCCAGAGTCAAAAACCAGATGCACTGCCATGTGGGCCATCCAGACCCAGGCGACCCTGTAGGACAGGATAACACTGCCTTTGTGGTTTCTGAGACGGGACTGTATAAGAGTAGAAAGCCTCGTCTTTCAGATCCCAGGGAGAGACGAGTGGTTAGCAGCCTGGC